AAAAAAAAAAAAAAAAAAAAGGGCCCGTTTGCCAGGGCCTGTGCTGGGTCTCGGTGGCGCGGTGACGGCAGTGGTGGGATGATAGCACAGTTTGGGATGCCCACAGCGCGTCCTCTGCACTCTACTGCCCCACCCTCCTGTAAACAATCCCAAAACGCCGGACCCCAAACAACCCCCCCCACCCCCACAAAGCCCATGACACCCCCTCGATCCCCCCACACATCCCCACACCCTCACACACCCCACACCTCCAAAGCCCACATCGCCACTGACCACACCCCACACCCGAAAACCCAGCGATCTTGAACCACCTCCCCTCCACCCTTGCCATACCCCCCCCTAGCATTTTTTTTTTTGAAGCCCTGCAACTCACGGATATTGACCACCCACCAAAAACGATCTTTTTTCTGTTTTTTCGGTTCGAGGGGCAGGGGCCGCGGCTGTGCACTGCCAGACAGACCTGGTGCGCCAACCTCCAAACCTTCCCCCCGACTGGCCGCTACGGTGGCCGCGTGGCCCGCGTTCGCCTCTGCAGGGAATTCACAGCTCTGAAGACTCTAAACTCTATATCCTGCAAGTCTGGAAAAGTTAAGTCTTCTGTTTTCATTGATAGTCTGCCAAACATCTCTGGCAATGTTGCCAATGCACTGTTGGAGGTGATGCCAGCAAGTTGCAACAACCTCGAAGAGTGGGCGCCCTACCCTCTTCACCCAAATAGAACACCCCGGTCAGTATAGTTGCATTTGAGCAACCTGGCAGTCTAGATACAGCGATAATGACGGGGCGTTCTATTCGGGCGAAGGAGGGCATGTGAGGTCTGCACTCCGTTGATAGGGAACTGCACTGGCTGGAAATTGGGTTCATGGTTTCAGTCACAAAATCGGAAGTATACATTGGAGGACAGTGTTGATTGCCCACCTCTAATGGTGTACTCCTGTCAGGACGTTTTCGACTGAGCTCTGGACGTCATTGCGGTCAGATTCATCGAGGTCGGGACGTAATTGCAGTCAGATACATGTAGAGAAGTGCTTCTCTGAGTACGCCCTGAAGGGTTAAACGTCCTCCTAACTGCCATTTAGTCAAAATGGACATTTTTAGTTTTTGAACGACATTGAAACCAAGTTTTTTTGGCCGAAAACTCATCCAACTATGCTGCTCCTTAGGGTCCGGCGTTCTTAAAATGCTGGACCCCCTGGATGTATGTGGAATCGCTGATATGGCCCTCTGGAAAACCTTGAGGGTTGCTGTTGGATCAGCAGAAACTGTAATTGAAGGACACCAACATTCAACATCAACTCGGTTTGCACCACATGAGTAGGAGAACTTGGAGAAGAGAGAAAGTGGGAACGAGCAAATGGGGAGGGAGGGGGGGG